TGTGTATAAGAGACAGTTTATAGGAAGCCAGATACTATCTGTGCTCCAAAGTGGTCTTGCAAGGGGGAGTGCTGAGAGATGGCCAAACAGCCCTCAGAAGGTCAGGAGGAGGAGGCATAATGTGAGCTCCAGAAAGCTAGTTTGGGTCTGGGGCGAAATAAACTGGCCAAAGGCGGAATGAAATGGAAGTTCATTGTGGGAGCCTCATCCTTTTTCCCCAGTGAAGAGATCTAGAAGCATAGCTGCTTTCCCATTTATGGGCAATTAATTTGTCTCTCTGCAAATCTTCACATAGAAACAATGGGTATAGAAACTTTTTTTTTTAGATGTAGAAAGTGTCATGCTTTTTACTTCCTAAATGGGCCATGCTCCTTTTGTAAGGAAGAAGCAGCCCCATGGCCCTAGGAAAGATGATGAGAGTGGATGGCAGTTGCTGTAACCACTCACCCAGCTCCTCGGTGTCCTTTTCTGAGGCGTCTCGGAAAGAAAGGGCAGCAGGAGCAGAGGATGAGCCAAGAGGGGCTGCATGGGTCAGAGGGCTGCAGGTTTGGCACCTCTTACCTCGGTTACAATGTGCGCACATTGAAAATTGCTAAATAATCCACCCATTTAAGTCCTTGGGGAAAAAAAAAAAAAATCTTACGTTTATCTCTTTGAGGGGGAAAAATGTCAGTAATGATGGAAAGGCAGTTAAGTAGCTGTTTAGTGGTGCACAGCAGCACTACAGAAAAATTAAAGATTAGAAATGCAAAAAACCCTGTCTGTATGCATTTAAAATGGGCAGGTCAGAATTTGGATAGCCTGTCTTTGGTATGATCACTGTAACATTCTTAATTTTTGAAACCTCTAAGGGAGGGTTTTTGTCACCTCTGTCCTTTGGGGGGAAGGTAGGAATCTTCTGTGGGTTTGGGCTGTTAACTCTTTGGGAGTCTGGGTTTGAGTCAGTGTCAGCCTGGTACAATTTGAAGTAGTGATGGGTGAAACCTCATGCGATTTGCTGTGTGTGGTTGGGCCCTCCCAGTGCCCCCCAGCCACAGTGTGCCTTCTAAGAATTAGAAGCAGGCTCTCGGGTGTCCAGTAACGCGTCCGGCATGCGGGACCAGGGGGCGAACCTGCTGGCCTCTGTCTGGGCAGCTCCCCATCTGTCCCTGTCAGTCAGGGAGCGAATTCCAAACTGTTCCCAGGGAGGACGGGCTTCCTAAAACGGGCACAACAACTGGCCCTGCCCAGCCTTGCCCCTTTCTCCCCACGGCTTGCCGTCCCCTGTGGCAGAGTTAATTCTCTGTCTCTGCCCCCGGTTTGACTTGAACAGCTGAGGGGGGAAACCCACTGGCCCGAGGCTGGGGTGGTGGGGGCCA